GGGACGAATCCCAAACCGGCGCCCTCGCCTGAGACATCCCCGCAAATCCGGCCCCGGGGGAGGTGCCCACAGGAGCCCAGAGCGGCCTCCGGCACCGTTTCCGGACGGATCCGGACGGATCCGCTGGATCCGGGGGCGAATCCCAAACCGGCGCCCTCGCCTGAGACATCCCCGCAAAACCGGCCCCGGGGGAGGTGCCCACAGGAGCCCAGAGCGGCCTCCGGCACCGTTTCCGGACGGATCCGGACGGATCCGCTGGATCCGGGGACGAATCCCAAACCGGCGCCCTCGCTTGAGACATCCTCACAAAACCGGCCCCGGGGGAGGTGCCCAGAGGAGCCCAGAGCGGCCTCCGGCACCGTTTCCGGACAGATCCGGACAGATCCGGTGGATCCGCGCCCCGGGGGAGGTGCCCAGAGGAGGAATGAGGAGGAGGAGGAGGAGGAGGAGGAGGAGGAGGAGGAGGAGGAGGAGGAGGAGAAGATGATGGAGCTGCGGGGTGGAGGAGGACAGACGGAGGCAAGAGAAGGATGGAGGAGGAGGAGGAGGAGGAGGAGGAGGAGGAGGAGGAGGAGGAGGAGGAGGAGGAACCTCATCCTCACCCTCGCCAACAAGCGCACGCACCTTCTTCTATATACAGAAACTCCCGATCAACCGCAGAGCGGCCGGCTAGTAATGCTGATGATGCTGATGATTACGATGATGATGGTGACGATGGTGATATGGTGATGGTGATGGTAATGATGATAATGATGATAATGAGGAGGATGAGAATGATCAGGATGAGGATGAGGATGAGGATGAGGATTAGGATGGAGGATGGAGGGAGAAGCTGTAGGAGGCGGAGGAACATAAGGAGAAGAGGAAGGAAGGAAGGAAGGAAGGAAGGAAGGAAGGAAGGAAGGAAGGAAGGAAGGAAGGAAAGCGGAGCGATGTCTCTTCAAAACGAGGACCCAACACCACAGGATGGTTGGGAAAAACCCGACGGGGGGGTTTGGGCCAATTTCGGCTTGCCTTGTGCCGTCGACAAACGGAACGCCAGCCCTGGGAAAAATGTCGGGACTTCCAGGGACTCCAGACTGAAAAAATCAGGACGTCGGCTGTCTGGGGCCGCATCGCCGATGCATCGCCGATGCATCGGCGATGCATCGGCGCCGTCAGCGCAGAGGAAGTCGGGCTCCACACCGAGCCGCGTCGACGAGGCCTCGGCGATACGGTCGATCGATCGATCCTCGAGGGAGCGCCGCTCCCGGCCCGGTCCATGAGCGCAGGCGCCCGTTCGCCAGCTGATCGGCCTCCGTTTTCGGCCCGGCCCATTCACGGCAGACTCGGCTACACGCAAGAGCGACCCTGGGTAAGAGTGACCTCTGGTGCGCGGCCTTTTTTGGGGCCGCGGGGGGACCAAACCTGGGCGCGCAAGCAGCTGCTACTGCTTCGTGTTCAGCCATATGGGGACCCATCTGTGCCCGCACCAAAGGTCACTCCGGCGAAAGGTCACTCTTACGTCTAGTCCACAGACGGCCTTTCGCCGAGTTCGGCCAATCGCGATCGCCGGCCTGTCTCCGTTGTCGGCCTCTGCAGGGGCCCTCACAGCAGGCCCCCGGGGGCTCTCAGAGAGCGGCTCGGGATGCACAGCCGGCCCTCCGGGAAGAGGTCCAGACCCCTGGGGTTCCACGCTGGCGGCGTCGGCTGGGGGGGGGAGGAGGAAGGAGGAGGAGGAGGAGGAGGAGGAGGAGGAGGAGGAGGAGGAGGAGAGGAGGAGGAGAGAGGAGGGAGGAGGAGTGAGGAGGAGGAGGAAGGAGGAGGAGGAGGGAGGAGGAGGAGGAGGCGGAGAGAGGGAGGAGGAGGAGGAGGAGGAGGAGGAGGAGGAGGAGGAGGAGGAGGAGGAGTGTGGGCGACTGTGGGCGGCCAGGCCCCGCCTGGGCTCGGGAGCGGTGCGCACACGCCCTGCCGTGGCCCCGGCCAGGGAGGCGCCCTGCCACCGATCCTCTGCCCCGGGCGGGGCCCCGGCCAGCAGCGGTGAGGCGGTCGGTTTTGAGGCGCCCGGGTCCTCGGAGCTCCACTGGGACATCCACTGGAGGTCCTCCTCTTAGGGCGACGCAATCTATACATATCCACTGCTCCCTGGCCAGGCCCATCCTGAGCACAGCAGCTGTGTATACGCCACGCCCTCCTGGTTTGGCCAGGAGGGCGTATACACAGCTCCTGGGTTCAGGATGGGTCTGGCCAGGGAGCAGTGGATATGTATAGACTTCGTCCCCCGACCTCTGGGAGGAGCAGGGAAGCGGCGAGAGAAATGAGCGTTCGGAGGTCCGCGTGGAGGCCTCGGGGCGGCGCCGGAAGCCACCTGGTGGCGCCCGTGGCGCCACCCCTGGCGCCACCCCTGGCTGGCGCCGCCCCTGGCGCGCTCCGCGCGCCCAGAGGGGAGTCCAGCGCCCATCCGGGAGCTCCGCGCCCGCCTCCGAAAGTTCTGCTTGAAGGGTTTTTTTCCCTAAACAGCTTGCCCGCAAAGATTCTACGTAACTTTACAAAACACATGTGCGTCGTCGAATCCGGAGCCGGTCGGGCGACATCGGCCCCCGTTGGCCCCAAGTCGGAATCGGGCAGGTGACGGTGGCCGCCGGTGGCCCCCGTCGGGCTGTTAGTAGTGTGCGTATTCGTGTCTCTTAGCGGCAGCACTCGCACTAGCATTATTATGGCGATTCGTACTCGTATGGGTAATTTGAGGGAGTTTCTGTGGAACTCACGTCATCCTCACCCCCGGCGCGAAGAGCACGAGTCCAGAGCGGCCTCCGGCACCGTTTCCGGACGGATCCGGACGGATCCGCTGGATCCGGGGACGAATCCCAAACCGGCGCCCTC